GTGTGTGTGTGTGTGTGTGTGTGTGTTGTCTGAGCTCTGGAAAATAGGGTACAAAAATCGGTGTTGTTTTGGATCAGGGTGGAGCGCTACAGAAATAAGCGAGCCAAGACATTTGGCTCCCAGGTGGCTGAGTCAGCTGTTTGTGTTTGAATTCAGCCGCAGTTCGAACACGGTCTCAGGTTACAGTCCAGCACTCCTGAGGGAAAACAACACAAACACTGTGTAGCATTTGTATACTCTCGAGGAAGAGATTGTTTTCTGTCTCTAGTTTCAGTAAGGGTCTGTTGACTTTGCTTGACACATATGAGATATAATCAACACTGTAACACAGCAGAAGACAATATTTGTCCCGGCTCAGAACCCAGTTAACTACACAGGAGTTTATGCCTTAAAACCATGAAACATTTCAAGCACATTTCAAAAGATGTGTTGCCCGATGAGACTCAGCTGCTTTAATGTGAGGGCTCTGTTTTTTTCCCCTCTTCCATCCACTGGATAGAGAAGCCTGCTGGGGCTAATTGGTAGAGCAGGCCCCAGGATGGAGAGCAATTAGAAAAGGTCAGTCCTGCTGCATCACCTCTGGTTAATTACACCTGATCACAACATTCCACATAATGAGCTTTCAAGTGGATGACCATCGCTTTAAGTGCAGCAGACGGAGATCCTTCACTCACCCGCAGCTCACCCTAATTAATCCAAGTCTTTTTTTTTTTTTTTTGCTCAACAACTGCTCATGCGATCGACTTCAAACTAGGCAGGTGTGTTGCTGAGGACGCAAAGAAGTGCAGCGTCAACTGAAGTTTGTGAAGAGTGCTGACTGCTGAGAGGCCAGCTCTAACCCTCACACAACCCCAGTGTTTCCCCAAGATTATTTTGTTCTGGCCCAGTGACATTCAAAAAAAACGCACATTGAGAGGTGCATTGTACGGAGACGCTCAGAAATGCAAAAGCAGCAAGTAAAAAAGCTCCTTCTCATAAAAACCTGTTACAGAATAATTTTATCATGTCAACTGTGACCTTTGCAAAAATGGATTGTGAATAGCGAGCGTGATGCGTTGCTGCACTTTCTTTTCCTTGACATGGAAAATGCTACTTGTGATTTAATTGGTTTTATCGTTTTGTTATTTAAAACTTTGCTGGACACAACTGTGACATTACAGAACATTTCTTTGTTAGTTAAATAGAATCCATTAGACCCATCAGACTATTTTTCCACATCACGCACAGTCAGGCTTATATTGATCATGCAGAACATAGTTACTCTTGTTAGCAATTTGAATTGCACCACCTTCCTAAGCAGGATTGTCGGAGGAGGTGATGAAGCCGAGCAGTTGTGAGGTCTTCGCGTCAGTGGTTCCGTCTCGACTCCTCCGTGATGTCCAGGTGTCAGCTATGCTTCATTTGGGATAGTCGACCACCAGTTGCTTTAGGGTCAGGGGTCGTGTTGTTGGGTCACCAAACTCATCTCTGCTCCTTTACCTCACTGTGTCCCCCAGCAGCTGCTGTGCTTCTTGCTCTGTCCTCAAACAAACTTTAAAGTCCAAAGAACAGTCATTATAGCTCCAACACACAACTCACCCACACACTAGCTTCCTTTTATTTAGCTTTACTATCTAATTCAACTACATTTCCACTGTTTGTGTGTTGCACTTGGTTCACTTGTGTCTATTTAAATGTAATTTGATGTTACATATTTAAACACTATCCTGTAATTTGTTTATTTATTTAGCTCCAGTCTTTAAATAAAACTGCAACAATGTGAAGTCCAGATCTCTCATCTGTTTAGTTCTGTATAATATTTTCAAAAGTCAAATGACTGCCAATTCACACAAAAATCAACAGACACGCATCAAGAACCAGCAAAAGCCAGTTGCCAAATGATTGTAGAAATTGCTGTGTATGTTGGCTAGAGACATTTGAAAGTTAATTTGACTCATGAGATAAATCCTGTAAAAGCCACAAGCAGCAGTTTACTGACTTCCACTGCATGAGAGAGAAAATGAGAAACGCCCACCAACCTCAGAGGTTCGCTCCAAGCTGTTTGTCTGATGTTTAGTCGATGCAGCATTGACAAGTTTCCAGTTCAACTCCCAAAAACTGAAAGGTTAATAAATTGTTTGGATTTCTTTTTGATGATCAGCAGCTTTTCAAAGTAAATGACCGCCCAGTAACTGCTTCACCTGACAAAGTCAATCCAAGAGATGATGACACTGTCTAACGACCAGTCAGATATTTTGGGAATGAGTCAGTTCCTGGTCTGATATCTTTTGAAATTCATCCTCTCTGTATTCCATCAGCTGCTAAAAACATTTCGTATTTTTTTCCGTCTCTCAGTTGAACCTCAACTCATCTCATTTGTCTTCTCTGAAGTTTAGCTCTAGATAGACCACTGGCCCGGCTGTTGATCTTAGATCTGAAAACTAGACCAAGGCACCAGAGAACACACCACTGAGCAGAAGGTTTTGGACTCTCCTCTTTGACTTGCGGGTATTTACCGCAGGTGCTACATCCTCGTCAAGGCACAGTTCAGTGAACTTGCCTGGCGATTCCGCTGGCATGCAGCCGCTACAGGACCTGCAGTCTGCAATCCTGCCAAGAAATTCCCTTCTATAAACTGACATCCTGAGTGGGTGTGGAGGAAAGTTGAGGGAGGCAGAGTGAACAAGAAAAGTTGGTCAGCGACCATGAGAATTTGTGTTATCTCTGCATTAGTGATCCTGTGTCGATCCACGTATCCCGTGAGAAAGACAAACACGGGCCTGAATGTGCTTGCACAAGGAGCGGAGCTCGATCGCCAAGGAATGATTTGATTGAAATGTATCCCACTGCCTGAGCAGAGCTGTGACGCTAGCCCACCTGATGCTAAGGTTACGGCACGAAGCAACATGTGCACGCATACGCAGGCACACACACACACACGCACGCACGCACGCACGCACACACGCACACACGCACGCACACACACACACACACACACACACACACACACACTCACACTCACACACACACACTCATGTGTCAGTCATATCTCCAAGAAGACATTACATTGATTTTCTGGTGACTTAATCCTAACCATACCCATAGTTACTACTTGCCTAAACCTAATCCTTACCTTAACCAAACCTAAACTAACCTTAAAACATGTCTTCACCTTAAAATGTGTTAATAATTATAATAATTAACACTATGGGGAATTCACACACATGCTGCTACAAGCTCCTGCTATCACTTCATTCTCAGCTTTGCTAATAATGGTAATAATTTCACTGAATAATTTAACTTGAATCCAGTCTTAATAAGGGTAATAGAAAGTGAAACGACTTTTGATTAAAGAACTGGCAGAGACACTGTTTGGCAGGCGTGTGTATTTGTTTGTTAAGCTTCTTGCCAGCTGCGTGTGAATCTGGGCTCCAGACCCCAAATATCATCACGATTTGTCAGAAAGAGGAACAGTGTGTTGAGAGAAAAAACCATGAGGTTCTGAGAGAAGAAATCTGTAAAATTGATGATTATTTCGAGGTGCGGTGTCTAAACACATTACAAAGAGATTTCAGTGTAACACTGCACCGTTGAGGTCATCTCATGTGTTCTGCATTTACGAGCCACGTTTAGAAGAAACAAAAGCAGAATTGCAAATATCATGCATAAGTCATGAAGCAATCACACTAACACGCATGCACGCTGCTCATGCACTTTAAACATTTTTGCTGTGGCAGCGTTGGACGTGAATATCAGTCGCTGTGTTTTAGTCCTGTGTACTTCACAGTAGATTCGAGCCTGTGCTGCATTAGCCTCGTCCAAGGTGACTGGTGCCCCACAGAAGTGTATTAGTATAAGCCCAGCAGCACCAAGAGCCATCTAATTAAAAGAACATGCTACATGCTGGCTAATCCTGGACAGATGAAGCATCAAAGGCTGCCAGGACTGCGCCTGGTTATCAGTGGTTACCTAAAGTGTATTTGAATTTGAGTGGAATAATAAAAAGACTTTACAATATTTATATTTTCATTTCAAATGACTGAGTCTTTTTTCATTACAAGCAAATGTCTCTCACCCTAAGGACATCCTGCTTAGATGGACATTGATATGAAAGTCTGGAGCCTTGATGCTGAAGTCGTGATTAATTTCTGCTCAGGATCTGTCTCTGTGTATTTGTATGCGTTTATTCGTGGACACATCCCCAGACCCAGCTACTAAAAAGGCAGGTTGCTGGTATTTCTAACTGCACATGACAGCTGACACAACTGTAGGTTTGCCTTGCCTGTTTCTCAGTGGCTGTGTTTGCGCCTGCGTGTCTCTGCAGGGGTGCTGTGGAACCTGTCGTCGTGTGACGCGGTGAAGATGACAATCATCCGGGACGCCTTAACCACCCTGACCAACACTGTGATCATCCCTCACTCCGGGTGGAGCAGCTCCACCTTCGACGACGACCACAAGCTGAAGTTCCACTCGTCACTGGTGCTGAGGAACACCACAGGCTGTCTGAGGTGAACCACCTGATGAACCCACTGGGCACCAGCACCGCACTGTGGACATCTGACGCTATTACAGCCAGTCGGCAATCAGCTCATACTGTGTTAAGGATGTTTTTGAGATTAATCTAATGCTCGAGTGGCCCAACAGTGAAATTAAGACCAGAAACTGAAGTTACAAGTCACACTTACATGCCTTACAGCGTCACAATGGTCTTTACATTGTCATAAACAGTGTTTTTTATATTCAACAACAAAGTAAAAATTAAATTCTTACATTATTGATCATTAACTGGGTATGCTATAGTAAAAATAGCTGTATACACACTTATGTATAGCTACATTTATGTGTATGGTTTGCGTTTATGCAGTTATATTTAGTTTGGTAGTTGCTAAGTGCTATAATGACTCCAGTCAGACCACACACACACTTCATGCATTATTCATGGTGTGTGGGGATGGTAAAACCCACATTACACATTCTAGTGGAATAAACACACACACACACAGCTGTCATTTTGTGTGTTTGTATATGCTCATTTGTTTGTTGAACAAAGACTCAACTCAAAGGCTTAATTTGTGTGTGTGTGTGTGTGTGTGTGTGTGTGTGTGTGTGTGTGTTTGATGTTTTTAAAAGGAACCTGAGTTCAGCCGGCGAGGAGGCCAGAAAACAGATGCGTATTTGTGAGGGTCTGGTTGACTCACTGCTCTACGTCATCAAAGCCTGTGTAAACACCTCTGAC